CAGAGCTGTAAAATTGTAACACAGTTTTTAAGAAAAAAAATTAATTTATTTTTATCTTCAAAAACCTATATTGCTTAATTTTATCAGCAAACTGTTTCCCGTTAGACAATGAAATATCAGTCAACCCATAGACAGACGCCTTTGGTTAATAAGCACAGTGCTTATTATTGTGCTGCTATTTTTAAACTTGTACTGATTACCGTAACATGCCGAATTTAGGAGCCCAATAATTACTGAATATTACTGAAACAGCGTTCATTAGTCGACGAAAACTCTTAAGTGCTGCTCAAATTGTTCATACCGAAAAAAAAAGAGATGTTAAAAAAGCTGAATTACAGAAGAAAACAGAAAAAAATGGATTAATCATCCATTAAAGTTTAAATAGAATAATTGTTTCATTGGAAACTTGAAATTTATGAAGATCAAACTTTATTATTACATTATACCAGTAACATAATATGAACAAACATTCTTCTTTTTCTTCTTTTTAAACATTAGTTTTGCGTTTATATCTTCCACTGTTGTTTTCCTCGTTGTTATTGTTCTTAGCGGCAGTATTGGTGGTGGTGGTGGTGGTGGTGGTGGCTTTGATGACTGAGACTGATTGCTGACGATGGCGGCCGTTAAAGCAAAATTGTTTGCCGAATGCCGTTTAACTGGATCCAAATTTAATCGGAACAACTTTCTCTGCTTCACTTTCAACCGGACTTGCTGAATGCCTACAAAAAAAAGAAAAAACAACTAGGTGTATACAAGGTTTTTGACAAAGATGGCAAAAAAATTTAAAAAAAAATGGAAAATATACGTGAAAAAATTGTGACTTAACTGCATACTTAAATTTGAAAAAAGTTTTGAAATATTTGACAGATAACAGCATAATTTTTTAAAATACAGTTTCTGTCCTCCGATTTTCTTTTCCCTTTTTTTTTTTTCTTTTTTCTTTTTATTTTCAAACGGCAGTGGGATTCTGACCTGGTTTGTGATCCTTTCAAATCTGTTGCAGTATTAACTTTGATTGGAACTGAATTAACGCCTTTCATGATCCGTCCTTTGGAATCGACAAGATTTGTATGTAACACTGTATTCAGGCCAAAATTGGCAGCACCTGACCTCTGAAACAAAAACAAAAAAAGGAAAAAAACTCAATTTGATCAATAATGTTTTTTCTTTTTCACTATTAATTTCGTTGAAATTAAAAGTTTAATGGACAATTTCGATTGTTCTTTCGTATTTTTTGTCGTATCATCACTCATTACTGCCGATTTAAAACCTTTCCAATCAGAAGAAGAAAACGACAATAAGCTGTTCTTGTAAATTGACAACTGAAAAATGCTTCACAAACTTTTCCATCAGTTCCAGTGAGAGTATTTGCAGGAGCACCAGCAGCAATTACAATTTTAGCTGATTTGTTTGGTTGTGAAGCAATTTTTTTATTTCCACCTTTCGTCAGTATCAGCGGTGCCGATGTTGATGATTCGGAAACAGCCGCTGGTGGTGGTGGCAAAGGAGGTTGTTCAGGTTGTTCAGGTTGTTCAAGTTCTTCATTCTGTAAATTAAGACTAAAACTATTGATTTTACTGCTAAAAGCTTAAAGCGATATTCAGCAAAATACTGCTAAATAATGCTACTATACATTTTTTCTGCTTTTTTTAACATTACAAACACACTTAAAAGTTGTTCCTGTTAAATGTGTTAAGATGATGCATGATAGCGTTAAGAAGGGCAATAAATTAGCTTTTAAAAATGACAAATAGTTCATCAAAAGAAAGCAGTTTTGAGTTTTTAGACTGCAGTGAAAAAATGTTAAGCATATGACTAATATCAGACTTTAACAAACCCGACTGTATCAAACTGATAATTCGATGTTTCAAACGTTTGATTGAAATTGCTTAAGCCGAAACTTACTTTAGCAGATTCTGCTGCCGGTTTTACATCACTATCAGTCTCTTTAGATGAAGCACTTAATGCTGCTAACATTCGAGATCTTATTGATAAATTTGCTGGTTCTTTTAATGGCATTTCTGTTGAAGTCTAAAAACCAAAGAAACCATACATTTGCCAAACTAACTACTTTTACAGTCTATTTAAATCGGTTGTTGTTTTTTCTTTGCCTAATCAGATCTCGTCTGCTTTACCAACATACTGCTTTTCCGTAAATTTTCAGTTGAAATAAACAAAAAATTAGTAGCTAAAATATTTAGCTAAAAAAACATCGACCAATATTAAAGAAAATAATATAAGGTTTCAAGCTGTAACTAAACGTATGTCACGATCAATCAGCAGTAAAATTTATCGACGCTAAGCTAAGTAATATAATTAATAATTATAAAATTTTTAAAAATTTTGCTGAATATTTTTGCCATCAAAACTGTTTAACATTAAAACTATGTTTTTTTAAAGTTTAAAAAGAGCGCTTGACAATTAAATTGAATTTTTGCAATTCAAATATGTCTGCTGCAAACGTAAAAAAATAATTTTAATAATGCAAATAAACAGAAATAGACTATATGTAAAATATTGGGCAAATAACCAAGCAGCAAGTTGTCATTATTGTTGATAAAATTTTTTTTCAAATTATTTCTTGAATTGTGCCGGTAAACTTATGATAAAATAGCGTATCAAAAAGCTATATTTTTACAGCTAAAAGTTTGACAATGAAAAATATTTCCCAAGTTTAATACGTATAAAGTTGAAAAATGAAAAAGCGCAAGAGTGTTATAAAGTGAATACATAAACAGAAATCCAACTTCTTTTTTTTACTCCAGCAGAATCTATGATGATGTAAGAAACGACAAACTTATAGAATAGTTTTTCAAAAAATCACTAACGATGATCAACTAACTTTTCCGGGAATAATTGGTTCATTGTTCTGTCCCAGAGCTTTAGCCGGTCGAAGTCCAGCCGGTAATGTAAAAGCATTAGAGCCGGTAATGTAGATGACGACTAGAACGAGGAATCGTTTCATATTTCTAAAATTCTTGAACTATCGATAAAACTAAATTTGGATACAAAATCGACTGTGAACATTTTTCATAAAATAGCAACAGCAATGATCAGTAACCACATTTTTAAAACTGTTTAAAAAAAAATGTGCATGAATTATTGAGTTAAGTTTATTTGACAGTCAACATTATTTGCAGTAAGGATAAGACCAGTTGAAAATCATAACATCAGTGAAAGTAATCTGATATTGTACTCTGTATAACTGCATTATTAGAACAGTTTATGCTAAAAGTAATTAACATAAAAAAAAAGTTTCACCTCTTAGATA